ACCATATCTGACATCCAACCTCATCCCACCCATCCCTTCCCACTGCGTTGGTTTCTTCTCTACCCGCGGACGCGTGTGATGGCGAAAATTGAACTTCCCAAGAGACCCCATCGTGTTATGCACAGTCGGAACATGGGGAGCAGCGTACATAGGCAGAGGAGGAGGAGGAGGAGGAGGAGGAGGAGGAGGCGGATGATCAGGAGGATGAGCAGGATGAAGTGAGGAGGAGGAGGAGCAAGAGGAGGACAAGGACGAACAGCATAATCGGGAACTGGAGTGGAAGGAGCGGGAGGAGCAGGGGGTCTACGGGAAGACGGAGAAGAGGAACGAGGGGGCGACAACGATGAGGAAGGACTTGGATCCAGAAAAATGGCCCACGCTGAAATGAGAATGCCGTTCTGGACGACAACAGCAAAGCGCCGATCCCAAGATGAAGCCAGCCTTGCAGCGGCATCACCATTCTGAGACACCGGAGACCTTCAACACATATTCACGACATTCTGAATAACCAAAAGAAGCTTGTTCAGGGGGGGCACTCCCCAGCCGTCTTCGGGAGAGGAGAGTAGTACTCATATTGAGTAATTGTGGGTTGGAGCAGGGGGCGGGGTGGATGGAGGGAGGTGGGGAAGGAAATGGGATGGATGCAGGGGAGGGGGGGGGGCGGGGGTTGGAACGGGGGGGTTCTCAATCCTGGGTTTCCCTCCTCGATCTTCCCTCCCCTCCTCCCCATCGATCCTCGATCCTCCTCCCTCGCCTTCGATCCTCGAGGAACGAGGGAGGGGCAGGGATAGGTGGGAGGCGTGCGCGCCTGGGTCTTGGAGCAGGCCAGACGGGGCAGGCCCGAGGCCGCAGCGAGGGTCAGTGCAGGCTCGCTGCTCGTCGGGAGGCTCGGACGAGGTTTCAGGTCCGCTGGCCGACAGGTTCGGTTGCTGCTCCATGTTGCTCTTCTCGTCCCATGCTCATCCAGTGCTCCTCCTCGTCATCGTTGTCGTCGCTTCCTTCTCTGCACCCATGTTCTTCTCCCGGCCTTTTTCCTCCTCGCCGTAGTCGTGTTTGCCCTCCAGCCGCCATAATGTGCACTCTCTTTTCCCTGCGGTCGATCTAGTATCTTGAGTTTGTTTGGTGTTGCTGCCTCTAATTATCCGTTTCTCTCTCTATATATCTCTCTTTATCCCGTATACATGTGTACATATATGTATATATGTGTGTACGTATACGTAACACCCCGCAGTTGCGGGTAAGGGTGAGGGAGCCAGCGCGGGGTTGGTCCCAGGGGTGTCGTGGGCGGGGACGGCGACAACATAAACAACAATGCGACAACGACAACAACAACAACAGCAACAACAACAACAACAACAACCTCAACAACAACAACCACAACAACAACAACCACAACAACAATAACGACAACAACAACAGTCATTTTAAGACTGTTCGCCCTTATCTGCTCGAGTGTCCAATCACGCCTATTTCCCAAATCCTCGATACCCGCCCTCTTCGTCTTCGATCGAATCCCTTTTGGGGGGTATACCTTTCTTCCCTGCATGCCGGGCCCTGGCAAGCGGCGTGGCGGCCGCGGACCGTCGGCCTGACCAGCGGCAGCGCTGATCGGCGGGGCGGCCGCGGACCGTCGACCCGACCCCAAGAGGGACGGACAGGGGACCGACCACGACGACGACGACGACGACGACGACGACGACGACGACGACGACGACGACGACGACGACGACGACGACGACGACGACGACGACGACGACGACGACGACGACGACGACGACGACGTCGACGACGACGGCGACGACGACGACGACGACGACGGCGACGACGACGACGAGCGAAAGCGAGAGCGAAAGAGAACGACAGCAGGGCCACAAGGACACGAAGTAGGCCACGAAGGGCAACAGCGGGGACACGAAGGGAATGCGTATGGGGCCACGAAAAGCGCGAACGAGCGGGGGCCACGAAGGGCAGATAATGCGGGGCCACAGAAGGCAACGATGGGGCCACTGAGGGTAGCAACTGGGCCACGTAGGACAGATGCGTATGGGGCCACCACGGGCGCGAACGAGCGGGGGCCACGAAGGGCATACATATATGGGGCCACGAAGGGCAGCGAGGGTGCCACGAAGGGATGCAACGGGGCCGTGAAGGGCAGCGAGGGGGCCACGAAGGGCTGCAACGGGGCCACGAAGGGCTGCGACGGGGCCACGAAGGGCAGCGAGGGGGCCACGAAGGGCTGCAATTGGGCCACGAAACAAAGCGAGGGGGCCACGAAGGACTGCAACGGGGCCACGAAGGGCAGCGGGAAGGCCACGAGGGGCTGCAACGGGGCCACGAAGGGCAGCGAGTGGCCCACGAGGGGCTGCAACGGGGCCACGAAACAAAGCGAGGGGGCCACGAAGGGCTGCAACGGGGCCACGAAGGGCAGCGAGATCCCGATTCTTATGTAATCTGTACTATACGGGAATCCTAAGCGTGAGCGCGACTCCTGGGTGCCTGGGTGTCGGGAGCGCGGCGCTTTGGTAAATTGCAGGAAGTTCCAACGCAAGGGCGCTATTCTTCAGTAGATTGCAAGCAAGTCTCCAGCGAGAGCGCGACTCCAGAGCGCCGGGATAATAAATTCTAAAGAAGTCCCGAGCGAGAGCGCGATTCCGGAATAAAGCGCGAAGAAGTCTCGGGCGGGAGCGGGGGTCTTGGCTAAATTGTAAGGCAGTATCCGGCGGCAACCGTCGTAGTAAACCGGGGGCCAACGACACAGTTTGACCCTCAAGTATTCCCCTGGTAAAAAAAAACAGTGTGCGAGCCCCGGGAAGGGCACTTCAATTGAAGACAGTGTGCGCCGGACGGGGGGATCAACTATAAATAATCATTCTTCAGAAATGAAAGTTCAACAACAACAACAACAACCATTTTAAGGCTGTACGCTCTTACTTGCCCGCGAGTCATTCAACACGTATATCCTACACCCTCGATGCCCGCCCTCTTCGTCTTCGATCACACCCCTTTCGGGGGGATTATTTCTCTTTGCTGGGGCCGGCGGGCTTAGACCCACGGGCAAACCGGAACGGGCGGACAATCCTTCGGGGGCGTACATCTCTCTGCCCGCCATTGGAATTGGCGCGGGCCCTGCAAGAGGAGGAGGGGGAGAACGAGGGAGAGTGGGAGGAAGGGGAGGGGGAAGGACGAAGGAAGAGGGAAGATACCACGTTGTGAAGGCGTCCTTGGCGCGTGCGTGACGTCGCACGCGAGAGCGCAGTCCTAAGTACATTGTAAGGAAATCTCGGGCGGAAGCGGGGGCCCTGACTAAGTTGCGAGGAAGTCTCAAGCGGGAGCGCCGTTCCTGAGCAAATTGCACGGAAGTCTCAGGCGGGAGCGGGGGTCCTCACTAAATTGCGAGGAAGTCTCAGGCGGGAGCGCCGTTCCTGAGTCAATTGCGCGGAAATGTCAGGCAGGAGCGGGGGTCCTGAGTAAAATTCGAAGAAGTCTCAGGCGGGAGCGCCGTTCCCACGTAAATTGCACGGAAGTCTCAGGCGGGAGCGGGGGTCTTGATTACATTGCGAGGAAGTCTCAGACGGGAGCGCCTTTCCTGAGTAAATTGCGCGGAAGTCTCAGGCGGGAGCGGGGGTCCTGAGTAAAAATCGAGGAAGTCTCAGGCGGGAGCCGTTGTTGTTGTAGCCCGGGGGGCAGGGGCACAGTTTGAGCAGGAAGACTTTCCTTAAGAAAAAACAAGGTGCGAGCCCCGGGGGTGGCACTTCAATCGAAAAAAATCAATGTGCACCGGTGGGGGGGATCAACAATAATTATTCTTCAAGAATGAGAGTTCAACAACAACAGCAACAACAACAACAACAACAAAACACTTACAACAGCAACAACAACAACAACAACAACAACACCAGCACCAACACCAACAACAACAATAACAACAGCAATCCGCACCGCGAAACCCCACTTCAGCCACACGCCCAGGGACAGGGAATGACCGGTCGGCCCCCTCACTCTGATATAGGTACCCCTGCAAACGCACCATGACCCCCCCCCGTGGTGCGGTTTCTACATGAAAAGCCATCTGATTCCTGCTATATTAGCACTTAGTCTTGGCGCTCCTTTCCTAAGGAGCTGTTCGGCCCAGATTGGCAGCGATGTACGCCGCTTGCCCATGCAGCCGCGTCGCTCCCACCTAACACCCACTACTCCACAGCATCCGCCCCACGCGCAACTTGAAACAACCCTTGCACTCCACTCCCTCGTTCTCCACCACCGAGCCCATTACATTACTCCACAGCCTCCGTCTCCAACACCACACACACTATTCCACAGCCCCCCTGAAGTGTAACTTGAAGACATCCTGGTACTCAACCCCCTCCGCCTCCACCACATCCATTACTCCGAGGCCTCCGTTTCCAACACACCCACTACTCCACAGCCTCCTCCCCAAGTGCATCTTTATTCAATCCTTTTACTCAACCTCCTCCGTCTCAACCTCAACACCCATTACTCCACAGCCTCCGTCTCCAACGCCACGCGCACTATTCCACAGCCTCCTCCCGAAGTGTAACTTGAAGACATGCTTGTACTCTACCCCCTCCATTTCCACCACCACACCCATTACTCCGCAGCCTCCGTTTCGATCACCGCACCCACTACTCCACAGTCTCCTCCCAAAGTGCACCTTGAACCAATCCTTCTACTTAACGCCCTCCGTCTCAACTACCACGCCCACTACTCCACAGCCTCTGTCTCCAACACCCTCCAACGAATTCTTACCCAGACGCCCGCAGGTCCCGTGAACCACCTTTTCCTCTTCCGGTTCTTCGAGAGGAAAGGAGGGCTCATGGTGCGTGTTGACACCTACACCTGCAGAATTAAGATATACATATGCAGGTACAGACATACATGTACACATATCGATAGATCTATATACGTGTATACGGGTGTATGTATGTTCATAACTGTATACGCATAAACATATAAAACTTGTCCCTGCCGTGGCCCGGGAGGGCATATGTGCCGGCTCGTTCTTCGAGCGCCTGTTGACACGCTTCTCGGTCCCCGAGGAGATCTTCGGGCCACTATCGCTCCAGGCGGGCCAGCGCTGCTTGGGCGAAGTGGCGGAGGAGGAGAAGGACGACGAGGAGAGCACAATGAGGATGAGAAGGAGGAAATCTTGTTGCTTCCCCTTGTGTCGTCCCCATCTCTGGTCGCCCTTCCTCTGGGGCACCCACCCATAATCGTATGGCGGCCGCGAGCGAGCCGTTCTCCTCAAGTCCCCTCCTTGCCCACCGAGCCGGTGTGTACAGGGAGGGAGGGGGCGATGGCTGCACCTCACGAGGATAACGATAACTTATCCTCGCTGGTGGCGACTTATCCTGGATAAGTCGCCACCAGCGTTCCAGCGTTCAGGAGGAGGAGGAGGAGGAGGACATTTCAGGATGCGCGCGTCTTCAGTCTTGGCTGGCTGCCCCTGCTTTCAGGACCGCACGAGGAGAGCTCCGCACTGTGAAGATGTATGGGCTGGCACGAGCACCGGGTTTCTCGCGCGCCGTGGAGGCCACAGACGTCCGAGGAGGTCGGCGCGCCAGGGATGTGAGGGTGCAGCACGAGGCCGACGACTCAGGAGGCCGTCCAGCGTCATACGGGCGGGGCTTCGGCGTCTCAGGCGGCCAGCCATTGAGAGCACCGCCGCCCGCGCCCGTGCAGCACCGCGTCGGAGCTGTTAAGTGAACAGCATGGGCACGGATCAGCCTTGAACGCAGCCTTCAATCCCGCGCCGTCAGGCTTGCGCAGCTGCTGAACAGCGGGCGGACCAACGGATTGAGCCCGTAGAGAACTTGCGCACCCTGATTGCGCAGCATCTCCAACAAGGACGTCGAGGGCACGGCAGCGCAGAGCTCGACGAAGGCTGATGGCTCGATCAGTTATGTCAGGAAGCCCGTCGATGGAGCCGTATTCAATCTGCTATGCTCCACGTGGCTAGGTAGCCAAAGCAATGGACATTAGAGTGCGGATGAGGACCATCAGGATGGTGCCTTTGAATGCCTTCTCCTCCGTCGCGCTGGAAAAAACGCGCATTGGTAAGGCCAGCAAAGATAATCATCCACTGCCGACCAAGACCAACACCAACCATGGTTGCCGAAGCATGTCGATTGACAGCAATTGGGCTTGCACGGGCCAATTTGCAAATGTGCAGAAACGGTGTGCGAGGATGAACGACTGACCAAGGTAGTCGCCAGACGTTTCCACAAAGCGCACGCTGCCGACCGGGTTCTCCACCAGCATGGCCAGTATTGATGGGGCAAAATTATCAGAACGGTCGTCAAGCTCGTCACTTAGAGCGCGAAGTTCGACAGGGTGGTCATCCTGGCGCGGGCACTTACTACAACACACTCGCCGAACATCTCGTGAAGCTTGTGGTGATCGCCTCATGTTCGACGATCTCTGCGTACATGTATCTCCAGGCAAGTCTTCGCGAAGCACGGCTGAATAACGCGCAAGAGCTTCTCCAGCCGCAGCGACACGCCGGAGTGGCGCAGCAGTGGCTCTGGCCCGACTCGTCTTCGGCGAAGATGAGCCACAAGTGCGTGAGCTCGCTGCAGACGTCCAAGCTGAAGGCGCACCACGCGCAGCCCAACGCCAGTTGTCTCCCCACCCTCTTGACGGCCCGAGGCGTGTGCAAGGCGCGTGCCGCCGCTCAGCAGGAAGTCGGCGAGCTGATTCTGCCATGTACCGGCGTGTGCCGAGCACGTGCGACAGGACCCCGAAAGGACGCCAGGAGGAGGAGAGGCAGGAGGAGCACCGACAGGAGTCAGAGCAGAAGAGGCAGGGGGAGGGGGAGGGAGACGCTGACGGGAGGGGCAGGGGGAGGAGAAGACGGAGGAGAATGAGGAGAACGATAACCATAATGAGGAGCACAAGGCGTGGAATCGGGCAATGGCCTTAGGGGGACTCCCCCTCTCTTGTCTTCATCTGTATCGTCCTCTCTTCCTCGTCCCCTCCCTTCCTCTCCCCTTTCCCATCCATCCCCTCTTTTTGCTCCTCCTCTGCCTGATGCATCCTCCGCCCACGTTTCTTATCCTCCCTCTCACACCCACAGATGTGTCGATAGGGCGGGCCAGGCGTCTCGCCTCAGTCTTCTTCGCCACTTATGATAATGCAAAGTGTGACCTTTGCAGAGACTGCAAGGATCGAAGGCGAAGAGGATCAAAGCGAGGCTGTCGCCTTGGCGCCGCGTACAGTCGTCTCCAATGGTTGCAGCAGCTACAATGATGGACGGGGGTCGTTTTCACAATGGAGCTCTCGCCTGAGCACCGAGTGCACTCGTTTTCAATGTTCGCAGCAGCTACAGGGCTGCAGGGCTGCTCCTTTTCAAAATGAGGCTGTCTCCTTAGCGTGGCACGCATTCCGTTCAGTTGTTTAGCAACAGCTACAGGGATTTAGTTGTTGCCCAAATTTTAGCTTTCGCTTTAGCACCGATGGAGGGCGGCTCCTTTTTGGAATCGGGTTTTCGCTTGAGACATCCTCGAAGATCATTGCCAGAAGCGTGCATTTTTGCACCAGTTGTCTAGATCGGGGCTTGCATTTTCAAGATTTGGATCTCGCCAGGCAACGAGTTGAACTATATGAGCACACCGTTTCGAATGTCGTAGTGCTCGCTAGAAGGATGCAATGCAGTTCCTTTTCAAAACGGGGCGCTTGACTGAATGGCAGGCTCATAGGAAGCTGGGCTGTTCAACGAGGCTCTTGGCTTCGTGATTGGGAAGGATTGCAGGAACTTGTGAGGAGGGGACTTGGGACGGGAGGGTGTATTGCAGCATCGATGGTGCGTCTTGGTTATCTCTGGTCCTCCTCCTCATCGTTTGGAAAGCGCTGGGAAGACGAGAGTAGGGTCCATGAGCTAGGCTCTGGCGTGACCCCCCGTAAAAGTCGTGATGCAATCAATCACAGCGAGACCCAGAATGTCACTCAAGTTTTCTGTCGTTTTGCTTCCATCATCCAAGTCGTCGTTCTGAAACTAGTCGTTCGCTCGTGGCTCTTTTGATCAGCTGGCAGAATCGTTCCTCATACTACTCCGTGCGTGCTTGATCGGCGGTCGCCTTCCTCACACATTGCGAGGTGCCTCTTGACCCGTTCGTTTCCCAACCCACTTCATGCCAGCCGCGCGTCAGACCGCGAGGCGTTGGAGAGAGATGAGCTCTGCCGGAAGACCGACGGCTTCCTGCCAGACTGCGACGTCGCTTTCATCGACGAGATCTTTAAGGTATGAGTCGCAAGTCGCGAGGAGGGTGGGAGGAGGAGGAACAGTAGCAGCAGAGTGGCTTGACGAGGGATTGCGATGTCGCCTTCACCGACCGGGTGTTTGACGCACTGGCACCGCGGGTCGCAAGAGCAGACAGTCGATGCGCTTGACGTTAGGTTGGGCGAGCGAGGAAGAACCACGTCTGCGCCTGGGCGTTCGAGCTCGACCGGGCGAAGAAGAGGGGAACAGGAGGAGGAGGACGACGAGACATATCAGGGAGCGAGATCGAAGAGAGGAGCGGGCGAAGGGGGAGATATGGCCCGAGGAACAGGCAGCGCAGTAAGACGAATACGACGCCGATGGGGGGGACGAACAAGAAGGGAGCATGGAGGAGGACGGAGCGAGGAGGAAGGAAGGGGAAAGGGTGGAGGATTTGGAGGAGGAGGAGGAGGACGGATGTAGCAGGAGAGAGACAAGAGGAGGAGCAGGAAGAGGGGAAGGAGGAGGAGGAGGAGGAGAAGGAGAATGAAGAGGAGCAGCAGAAACAGTAGCCAAGAGGAGGGAGGGTGGGAAAAATGCAGAAATAGGTGGGAGGGAGGAAGAGGGAGGAGCGAGGGGAGGAGAGGTAAGAAGAGACAGCAGGGAGCGAAGAAGGGGCGAGGGAGATAATGATGTAGCCTGTAGCGACAGACCGCAATCACCCTCCTCTCCGAGCCATTGCACGAGGCAAACTCTTCGATCCTGAACACCTTGCTGATGATACTCAACGACCGGTGCTTCGACAACGGCGCGGTCCGCACGCAGGAGGGGCGGATTTGGCGCGGCAGCAGAGGCGAGGACGGGAAGGCTGAGGATGGGGAAGGGGCGGACGATTTGCCGCCCGTGTATTCGTTGATGTGATTGCTCGTGGTGGGTGGCGTGCCGAAGCCCGTCGGCGTCGCCGGCTCCTACGCCGAGGAGTGTTCCTATTTTGTTTTGGCAGGGCAGGCTCCCCGAGGATGCACTTGCTGGGGAGGGGGCGGGAAATTTGCTGCCCGGCCACCGAGTTGCTGTGATTGATTGTGGTGGCATCGAGAAGGCTTTTTGCGACCATTGCGACGTGGTCTCATGCGGTTGGTGACCGTGCGGAGGCATGCTGCCAGCCACACAGGCGATTGCCTTGACTGTGTTGGTTCGTTCGTTTCTCTCCTGCCTGCGCTGCTTGAAAAGCAAGTTGGTAGAATGCGAAGCATTTCGGCGCTCATGCGTTGTTTGTAAATCAAAATGCGCCGTGGGGTTGGGGGGATCGGTCGGTCAGTAGAAGAAGACCGTGGTGCAAGATTCAGGTCACTTGGGCCTCGTCGATTCTGCTGGTCTTCGAGCCTTTCTGGGGGACGCGAGGGTGAGCGTTTGGGAAGTTTATTCCGAAGGCTTTACTGCTGGTTTTCCCCAGCAACCCCCCCACACACACACACACACACACACCACACCGGCGGGGGAGGGATCAAACGCAAGGGGCTTCCCTTCGACTCGATTACGACATTGCTAGATTTTTCTCTCGTTGACGGGCTTGCGGAGGAGGGTGCAGGGAAAGGGGGCGACGGAGATGATGACTGACGAAGACGTCGACTCGAACAGACATCTTCGAGCCTTTCTGGCGGACGGGAGAGCGAGCGTTTGGGACGCTTATTTCTCTTCCTCCTCCTCCTCATCCTGTCTGCAAGCTGAGCCTGGGCACTCGCCCTATCGTCACTCTTCAAAAAGCATACATCAGCGTGCTTCGCGAGAAGCTTGTCACCGGCACGATGGCCACACCCTCAAGCGTCGCCTTCAGGCCTGGTTCGCGCCCCTCGACGCCGCCCGCCAGCACACGCGTGCACCGCCCGATGGTACCACGTGCTTTTGCTGAACAAAGACAAGGGCACCAACTTGCACGCTCGAGAGCTTGGGCTGCACATTTGGTTGCCAGACCTCTTCTTCGCAAGCCACCAGATCAACAACGAGGCCGACTGGGTGCGCTGCTGGATTGAAATTCTCTACGACATTTTCGTCCGCGAAGAAGCCCAACCACGGTATGCGACCCACCTTCAGCGCCGACAAGTCGATATCGAGATGTGCCGCCAAGCCTGGGAGAATACTGCCATCGGTCGTATGCTCATGGGACATCGGCTCACGCGCCCGACGTCCACGGGCGAGGAGTCACGTCAACAAGCATCGCTGCATTCGGACGAGTCCGCCGTCCACTGAGCCCGCCGCCGCTGGGTCAGCACGGACGTCTTCGACAAATCGCCCGAGGAGATCGGTGTCGACCTCAGCCAGGACATCGGGGACGAGCACCCGACCGACGATATTTGCGAGCCCGAGAAGATCGACATCTTGCAGCTCGGCCGCATTCCACAAGACCCTCCTGCACGCTGAAAGCGGATCCGCGAACCTCTGGCCACGCTACCCCCCGCTCGGGCGTGGTCGGCCCTCAAGATGCTGACGGGCACATGGGCACATGTGCGAGAAGCGCTGCTGCCACTTCGGCTGCGGCGCGGGGGGAGGCAGCGACCAGATCCAGCATTGCACGGTCCGAGGGAAGTTGTTGCAAGCCAGGCCTGCCGCGCGGCCAGCCGAGTGGCGAGCTCTTGACTCGCATCGGCCTTTCCTCGCTCGGCCCCGAGTTCTACGGCGAGAACGGGATCCCGACCGCGGTGGCACGGGATCCCGACCGCTTCCGCGTCTACCACATGACGAAGGACGACTCCATCCCAATCTCCAACAGCAAGCAGCGCGCTGCCGCCGGTGCCGCCCGCCACGCCTTGAGGTAAGCGCCTTTCCTCCCAGGCGGGGCGGGGCCGCGCCGCGGCTAGCCGACCCCCCTCCTCCCCCATGCTCCCCGTTTGCCGCCCTTCTCTCCCTCTTCCTCCGCTCCCGTCTTGTCCTCCTTGCTTTTCTTTCTTGCTCCTCCTTCCTCCTCCTTTTTCTTTATCTTCCTCCTCCTCTTCCTCTTCCTCCTCCTCCTCCTCTCCCTTCTCCTCTGCTCCTTCTCCTCCTCCTCCGCCTCCTCGTCCTCGTCGTTCTCCTGGAACGATCATAGGGGTCATGGTCCTTCAATGGACGAAGGGGCCCCGTCAGAAGTTGAAGTAGGGGGCGGCCATCAGCGCGATGATGCACTGACCTCAGCTCCAGCGCGCAAATGGCAGCACCGAGGTCCCGCAGAAGCCCGCCGACGTTCTGCTCCTCCTGCGTCGTTTGCGTGGCCATGTGCGCCTCCACGCCCTACATGAAGGCCGCCTCCTCGTCGAGCACCGCGCGGCGCCCCCGCGCGCGGGCCGCCGCCGCGCCCCACCGGCAGGGCAGTCATCCCCAGGGGCCCTTCAGCGCAGCGGGCTGCCGCCGAGGCCGTTGGCAGGGTAGCCATCCCCCGCAGGGGCCCTCTGGCCCCGAAGGCACTGCTGACCGTCGCGTCCATCGCCGAAGCTGCGTCGCAGAGCCGTCGGCGCTTCATGAACGGCCGGTGCCTCTGCCGCCCCTGCCTGCCGAGGCTCCTGGTGTGCTCGTGCAGCCGCCCGAGGGGAACGGCGGGCGGGGCGGTCGGGTCGGCCGTCCACGCCCCCGCCGCCGTGATGACTTCAGCCTCGGTCACCACCTCCGTCCCCGCGTTCGCGAAGACAGTGGCGCCACGGGTGCACAATGAGGCCGCGCCATGGCGGGGAGGTCCCCGTAGGCGTCGGCGTCGCGGGCACCACAGCATCAGCTCCTTTGTCCCGCCCAGCGTTTCCGCGGGCACGGCGCTGCACCCCGTCGGGCTGTTTGAAAGAGAGGCCAACCAGCTGGGCCATGGATGGCCACATTTCGTATGATCGCCAGGAAGGGCACGATGGCGTCCACCCTGCGCTGGACCTCGGGATCGTCACTCCCGCAGACCTGCAGCTCCAGACCAAGGACGCGCTGCTCTAACGCGGTTCTCTCCTCGTTGAGTCTCTTCGCTAGGTTTTCGGCCGACATCGCGGCCCGCGCGCACAGCTGCCGCTTGGCTGCCGCGCTGTCTATTGCTCCTTGCCACACTCCAGGGGCGAGTCCCGCAGCCGTCCCAACCGAACATCCAGCAGCCGGCACCATGAGCCGAGCACATCGAGCCATGACGTTGGGGGTGAAGCGGCTTGAGCCAAAATGGCTACGGCTCCTCGTTGTCCTCCTCCTCTTCCTCGTCTTCCTCCTCCTTCTCTTTTTCCTCCGTGGCAATTTTGGCTCAAGTTCAAGCCATCGCCCCGTGACTTGAACTTGGTGCAGCCGAGGGGCTGGCCCGAGGTTCTTGGCGTCTTGGCCGTCAAGAGGCCCGACCTGTCACTAGGCCTTCAGTGGCCGCCCAGCAGGTGTTTTTCCCCTGTCGCCGTCGCCATGGACGCCACCTCCATCCAAGCCATCGTCTCGCAAGCCATTGCCTCGTCAATGTCCGCAGCTCAGGCAGCAATCGTGGAGCAGTTTGACGGGGGGCTTGCTTTTCGAGCGTTCCACAGTCTTTGGCAGCCAATGAAAGGCCTCCTCGCAAGCTCCCCGTGGTGGATTGACTCTTGTAGGTGGGGGGTGGACGGCTTCAAGGGGCCATGAGAGTCTCGACGGACAACGACGTCTGGGAGCTGATGTCCTCGAGGAAGGCCAACATGTGCGGGAATGCCGAGGTCTACACCTTCGAAGCCTCGATGCGCCCGCAAAGATATCCAGACTGACGTTCACGATGGCTCTTTCTGTAGATCCGCGGGGAAAGGTGGTGTCGTCGCTAGCGTTGCCAAAGCTCTGCTGGAGAAGTTCAGTCGAGTGAAGTTTCAAGTGCTCGCGCGCGGGCGCAACTCGGTTCTTCGCTTCGCTTCGCTCGCGGCTCAATGTCCTCGCGGGACGCAGCCGTCCGCGCGGGCGGGCCCGCGCGTGCGCCGAAGGCGCGCTGGGGGGACCACCTCCCCCTACACAGACCCCCGCCAGGATGCCCAGGGAAGGAGCCATCTAGGCTCCGCGAGGGAGGGGGCGGGGGCCAAAAAGGGCGAAAAAAGAAAGGCCCAGGAGAGGGCCCAGGAGACTCCCAGGAGTTTCAGGGAGGGGGAGGAGGAAGACGCTAAAGAGGAGAGGGGAGTGGCCACATGGGGGTGGCAAAGTGGAGAGGTGGGAGGGGGCTCATTAAAGGCCTGAGGAGTAAGGAAAGCCACCCCCATGATGACCTGCCCGCGGGCGGCGGCCCAGGTCAGGCCTGGACCGTGTCCTCTCCCCCCTCTCCATAGAGGGGGCGTTCACGATGTGGTTGGCGGTCTCCCTGATGTTGTGGTTGGAGGTCTCCATGATGTGGTTGGTGGTCCACAATGGAGTCGACGAAATCGTCGAGTGAGTTGCCGTGCTCCTGGGAGAGGCCGTAGTGTATTGCATAGATGCTGCTGGTGACGTCTAGCGCGGTAGGTCTTCTCGTGGTGAGACTCTCCGTCGCGTAGAGCATCATCTCAGTGTTCCAAAACAGGGATGGACCTGCTGGGGCTGCAGATTGCGCCAGTAGTACTGGTACCTCGGCGACGTGAGCCGCGTGGAAGGTGTGGATGGCGATGCGGGCATGGTGGTTCGCGATCAGTCGTCGTTCGGCTGCCTCGCCTCCAAGGCTTACTCTGCCCCAGGGGTCCGTGGTTGTCCTTGAAGATGCTGCTTTTCTGTCGTGCTGGTCGCCGTCGCCTAGGTCGATCCACGTTCTTGGCGAGAGGTTGATCATCACTCCCGCGAAGTCGCCTTGTCGAATGTGCTGGTGGATCGAGTCGAGGGCGTCGTGCTGAGATGGGTGGTCGAGAGAGTAAAGATCATCGAAG